ACATTAATTAAACACGTTAATTCAAGACTTTCTCTGACCTTACTAGGTTGTCAATTAACCCTTTCGGAGATTTCAGAGTAATTTACCTTTAGATTGCACTCAACATGTTTGAGCTGTGTATGCTCAATCACGAGTATCTTGTTTAGTGTTTCCAGGTTCGAACCTTAATCATTTATCCATTGCCTTACAGATTATGTTATATATATATATATATATATATATATATATATATATATATATATATATATATATATATATTACCATAGTGGATGATATCTTTTTCTGACCACAAATATCATAACTGAAAATTTTAATCAAATTTAAAGTTTATCGACCAAATTGGCGATATTTTGAAAATGGGCCACATTAGAAGTACCCTTAACCAACGAGCGTATGTGCGTAGATATAAGGAGGCGAGATAGGTATGTCAGGATCGTGACAAATGGAAGTCTGTAATCTCTGCCTACCCGTCTGGGTGACAGGCGTGAGTGTTTGTGTATTATGTATTAGCATATAATATCTTTTGAAGAGGATGGTCAGAGAAGTCGTATTAAAGAATTAAAGTCCCGACTTCAAAAGCTATTATATGAAAACGATTCTGTGACACAGTGGATTAGCATCGAGTTGCGGTGCTGATGCCCGCGGTTTTGAATCCTGCAAGGAACAAGTATTTGTATGGCCTGCAGATAATTGTTCCTGGTCTGGATGTTTGTCCTTGTGAAATTTATGTATGTAAACTGCCTGCAAAATACAGGAGATAATGCTAGTGCGGGTTAACTTTAAAAAAAAATGTTTTTATTTTTTGACTTTGATTTTGAATTTTGTAGAATCCATCACTAACATCATCATCATCATTACAGACTATTAAAACCTACTGCTTAACAGAGGCCTCCTCCATAGATTGCTCTGTACAGCACAGTTGCCACGCTTGGTAAGCGGGTTGAACGGTAGTACTGTATTGGATTGTTATCAGGATACTGCCCATCTCCTGTTTTATATTTTCCCTGTCGCCTCTTTACTCCTACAGGATGATATGGTCTAATATTTTCTGTTACGGGACGTGAAAGTTTAATATGATTGATTAAAAATTCATTAAACCTAAAAAATATAATGAATCCCTTAATTAATTATTAAATCTTTACGAAATTAAATTTCTTCAAGAGAGCGGAAAGAGTGAACAGCTGGCGGGGGGAGACTCTGACGGCGAGTATTGTTTGCTTTTAATTTGTGCAACTCATTTTCTATTCATTAATCTTCTTGACTTGTTGAATATTTCTGATAAATTTAAGTTGCCATATTTCCACACACTAACCTTTGTGATTTTTTCTTAAATGTGTCTTCTAATAAATGATAATAGTTATTATTTTTTTCTCCCTTTTAATGCAAGTTGACAAAAGAACATACCGATCGATACGACCTGGGGACCTTCAAGAAAAGAGCTTACTCCTTTCTAGAGGGCCGGCAACGCACCTGCAATTCCCCTGGTGTTGCGGTTGATCATAGGCGACGGTAGTTACTTAACATCAGGTGAACCGTATGTTCGTTTGCCCCCTCTTCTATAAAAAAATAGTATTATAAAGATTATTTAGAATTTCATGTAACTTTTTTAACCTTTTTTTTTACGTGGTAGTGCCATACTGCAGCTATATTAGTGGTATAGTTTTAGTACAAACAGGTCGGCTCGACCGGAGAAGGACCACGCTTTCACAGAATACCAGCGTAAAATAGCAGCTTAACGCTGCTGTTTCGTATGGTTAGTGTAGAGAACTGGAAACCCTTTTTACTGGAAAGGAGGCACAAAATTTCGTCAATATTGGTGGGATACCATTGGGACTGGAAAAAGGCAGATGCAATTATGGTAGTGTGAGAGTTCGTCTCAGCTACAATGTGGCCTAAAATGTCATCGTCCCAAAAGGAACGAAAAGCATCACGCCGAATTATAAAACTGAACTGAATCAGTTCGTTCTCAGGTACAAAATTCTCCTTCTGGCCTTGAAAGGAGTCCATACGAGACCATTCAAACTGGAGGTTCTGGCCTTCCAGCCGAGTAAGACCATTCCATCACTCCATTCCATCACTCCATTCCATCGTTCCATCACTGGCGATAAAAAATACATCCGCAACTTCGCTCTCGCTTGCATCCTCTCTTTCCACTCTGTTTCCTCCCTGACTATTCATTACGGCTCTAGCAGCATCTCCTATTCTCATCTCGGGTCTTCTCATAACATCCCTCGCCGAACCTACCAATTCAGGAAGGACGTCGTTATCAGTCAAATATATTTGACACAGTGGATGTCCCACCTCCCACTGTTGTCGCCCCCTTCGGCCCGTTGCGGATGCCCACGCCCACGTGCTCTTCCTCGCCCAACTACACCACGAACACCTCTTCTTCCACTCTGCCACCTGTCACCCATTCCCGGGGACACAAACATTGCATGGGCATCCGGGGCTAAAAATACCTCGTCCATGACGACGTCATCCTCGGCGTCATCCACGCCGCCGTCTTCATTTAAAATTCAATAACCACCATTGGTACACTGCAAAAAAATACCTTTACTTTAAAAATAAATAAATCAAACTTACGCAGTACAAGTGTAAATCAGACAAAGAAAGTGAGATTAGTGCAAATAAAAACATACTTAATACCAGTGTTAAACAAAGCATGAAAAACATAATATCAGAGGTATTAGCGGCATATAAAAACATATTATTTAAGTGTACTGATATACTAAATATTGTCTTTATCGAGCGGGTCCAACAGATCACATCAATATATATGATGGAGTCAATAGAAATGAATTAATGACACATTCAATATTTTATTATTTATATTTGAAAATTAACTAAGCATGGTCCTTCCCCGGTTGAGCCGACCCATTCGTGCTACAATTAATCTACTAATATAGATGCAGCATGACCCTACCACGTATAAAAATTTCATTTGTGTAGTAATATTTACTTACTGTCTAAATTTGTCTTATCCAAACATACTCATTAACAATAAAATAGGTATTAGTGGCATATAAAAACATATCATTTAAGTTGACTAATATATTTAATATTTTCATTATCGAGCTGGTCTAACAGATCACAGAGTCATACAAATCAATACTTATCAATATATATGATCGAGTCCATAGAAATGAATGAATGACACATTCACTATTTTATTATTCATATTTGAAAATTAATAATAATTAATGTATTCATAAACCCGTCTAAAATATTTTAAAATGAATATATATATATATATACACTTATATATATATATATATATATATATATATATATATATATATATATATATATATATATAACTAATAATTTTAATATTCTAAGCTTGGTCCTTCCCCGGTTGAGCCGACCCATTCGTGCTACAATTAATCTACTAATATAGATGCAGCATGACCCTATCACGTACAAAAATTTCATTTGTCTAGTAATATTTACTTACTGTCTAAATTTGTCTTATGCAAACATACTCATTAACAATAAAATAGGTATTAGTGGCATATAAAAACATATCATTTAAGTTGACTAATATATTTAATATTTTCATTATCGAGCTGGTCTAACAGATCACAGAGTCATACAAATCAATACTTATCAATATATATGATCGAGTCCATAGAAATGAATGAATGACACATTCACTATTTTATTATTCATATTTGAAAATTAATAATAATTAATGTATTCATAAACCCGTCTAAAATATTTTAAAATGAATATATATATATATATATATACACATTATCATATATATATATATATATATATATATATATATATATATATATATATATATATAACTAATAATTTTAATATTCTAAGCTTGGTCCTTCCCCGGTTGAGCCGACCCATTCGTGCTACAATTAATCTACTAATATAGATGCAGCATGACCCTATCACGTACAAAAATTTCATTTGTCTAGTAATATTTACTTACTGTCTAAATTTGTCTTATGCAAACATACTCATTAACAATAAAATAGGTATTAGTGGCATATAAAACATATCATTTAAGTTGACTTATATATTTAATATTGTCATTATCGAGCGGGTCTAACAGATCACAGATTCAGAAGAATCAATATTTATCAATACTTATCAATATATATGATCGGGTGCATAGGAATGAATGAGTGACATATTTACCATTTTATTATTTATATTTGTCAATGATTAATAATTAATGTCTATATAAACCTATCTAAAAATATTTTAAAAGTAATATAATTTTAATATTTTAAGCGTGGTCCTTCCCCGGTCGAGCTGAACTATTCGTGCTACCACTGTACTAATAATATAGCTGCAGGATGGCCATATAAAACATATTGACTATATATTGACTGCATACATGACTGAGAAGAATTACATCTCATGAAACTTTACTAACGGCGTACTATGCGTACGTTTATTCTGCACTTGATTATGGTCTTTTACTTTGGGGTAACAGTACAGATGCCTTTACAGCTCAAAAAAATGTAATTGAGCAATGAATGGCTTGGCACCAGATTCATCAAGTAAACCTTATTTTAAATATTACAGATTTTGACGCTGCCGTGTATGCACATCTTAAATTTAGTATGTTTTGTAAAAAATAATATAATTTTGTTCACAAAGTTAAGAGATACTGTACAGAGGAACTTGAGGCACACTGAAAGACTGACTCATAGTTTAATGTCAAGCACTAGCCTATATAGGAAAAATTGTTCAGCTATGTGTATAAAAATTTTCAATGCACTGCCTACAGAGTTTCAATCACTCCCAAAAGTATGTTTTCGCAGGATTGTTAAACAATGGCTTGAGGAGCAATGCTTCTACTCTGTTGAAGAATATTTAAAATTTATGATTAGGATTAAGCATAAGCATAAAATGAATTAAGTAATTACAATTATATTATTTTAATTAAATTAAATGTAATAAACTTATTATGATGGATTTGAAAATATGTTATTTATTATTACTGGTGAAAATGTAATTTTTGTATTAGATAATTATTTGTATGTCAACATTATGACAAAATATGCTAATGCTGTAGTGTACCAGGTTTTCTGCAAATAAATTATGATTTTGATTATGATTATTGTGTAAGTTGACTGATATAATTAATATTGTCGTTATCGAACGGGCCTTGTTAGACCCATTCGATAACGACAATATCTTTCTCACACTATCTGTTGATCACAGAGTCAGAGGAATCAATACTTTACAATATATATGATCGGGTCTCTAGAAATGAATGAATGACACATTTACTATTTTATTATTTATATTTGACAATTATTATTAATTAATGTCTATATAAAGCCGCATGGAAATATTTTAAAAGGAATATATATGATTAATAATAAGCGTGGTCCTCCCCCGGACGAGCCGACCCATGTGTGCTACAACTGTACTTATTAATATAGCTGCAGTATAGCCCTTTCACATATAACATGTTATACAATAATTATAATAACAAATTATAAAACACATAAATGTGGATACTGACCTCATCAGCATCTGGCTCAAACTCACTGTCCTCCGACAGATCTTCATCGTCATCAGCATAAAGCATGTCGATGAAGTCTGCGAGCGGATCATTGTTTGCTCTCCAATTTGACATCTGTAATATATTATAGAATAAATAAATAAAAACACCACACGGTATATCACATGGGTATTTGTATCATAATACATGCTAACAAATTATTTCTCTCCTTTTGTAATATAAATAATGCTTATAAAATGGATTGTTCATGTAAATTATCTATATAAAATAAAATTATATATAAAAAATATTTTTTATTAGATATAAAAAAAAATATCAACAGATCTGTAGAATTTTATTCCGGTACCCAATCATATGAACCGTGACCGTGACCAAGAACACATTATACCAAAGTAATAATAAATAGTAATAATTTTCGCACTAAACAATGTCATAATCATTATTATCATTACAGCCCTTCACAAGTCCACTGCTGAACTTAGGCTTTCCTCAAGTAATGCCACAAAGCACGGTCCTGAGCCACCTGCATCCATCGACTCCCTACATGTCTTACCAGGTCGTTACTCCATCTAGTGGGGAGGTCGCCCTACACTACACCAACAAAATACCACCTCTTTATGGATATAAACTATTGACATATCCCGTTACTATTCCAAATTCCAATCACTGCCGAATAATAGATTCAACGCCGTAGTTACATAAATTAAAGCTCAAAATAGCTTGCTGATTGTCAACCGTGAAGGCTGCAATTTTATATGTTCAATACATGGAATTTCTCGTACTTTCATTTTCAATAAAAATCGTTGTAAACTTCAATATGATACTTGTTACTGTTTATTTATTATGTTATATTACTTGTTTTAGTGGTTTTACATCATTACAAAAATAATTTATTGTATTTTGATAACAAAAAACGTTAAAAACCACGCGGATGTCGGCAGCGTGAAAATCACTATTATTTCTATATATTACTCGAATTTTTTTACGTAAAAAGATAAATTATATTCACACATAAATTTTTATAACAATTTTGTAATAAAACACTGTACTTACCTTAGAAAAATCCAAAAAACAAGGCAGCACTGCACAATAGCAACCACACCCAAATGACGCAATTTGAAGGCCGAATACAAATGTCAAATCATAGAGTAACAAACTTTTTATTAAACTAGAGGATAGAAAATTTCATATAATCAAAAGTTATCATATACGAAAAGTAGTCTCTAAACATAAGTACTTATGGGTTAAAATGCTATGGGTGTGTGTGGTCGGATTCGATCACCAATATAATATTTATTTTAATTATTGTTTATGGTCCGATCTATGCAAAATGAACTGACTATGTACTGAGGAATTGCAGTGGTATGCTTGGGTTCAGTTTTAATTTTATTGATTATAGGATCCCAAGCAGGTGGTAGTACCCAGCCTCCTTCTCCATTGAAATTAGAATGTTTTTAATTTTAATAGACTCACGTATCATTATTGGTAGGAATAGATGTTCTTTCGCGATGATTTGTGGTTAATCAAATCTGTTGTAATAGTTGGGGCCATCTAGGATATGATCATAAACTGCAGACTTCCCGGAACGTTCATGCTTCATATCAGCTATCAACCTTCATTCCATGCTCGACCATTTACTTAAATCAGAAAAATCGAACCCCTTAATGACGCCTATTGTTTTAAATTTTTATTCGTTAGGAAGATTTTAAAAATTGCGATAATTTTTAAATGTTTTACTAAATTATAGAACATTTAAACGTAACAACATATCAACGTCCACTGCCGAACAAAGGCCTCCCCATAGAGTGCCTCATAAAGGGGACTTGTTCTATAGCTGCCACGCTCGGCAAATGCGTTGCCAAAAAGTTTTTTTTATTGTGGTCAGGAAGACGCTGCCGCCCATCTCCTGATAGTTTCCCTCTGTCGCCTTACGACACCCACGGGACGATATGGGGTAGAGTTCTTACTCTGCCACCACACGGTTTTATAACCGACAGTTATTAATTAAAGAATATTATTATTATTTACAGATTTGAAAATACTTTACCTCCACAAAGGGATTTTCTCCTGTATCAATTAATGCTGCTGTGTTCCATATGGTGAGTACAGAGATTCGGAGACCGTTTTTACTGGAAACGACGCTGCTGCTCATCTGCAGATTAGTCTCCCTCTGTCGCCTCTTACGACACTCACGAGATGGTGTGGGGTAGTGGGTATTCTTACACCGCCACTACATGCGTATCATTGTCTATTATATAAATTAATCTTTTCTCTGACGCAAAAAAGTACTGACGTAACTTTTAACCAAAAAATTAAAAGAAGGTTCTTAGTAATAAGGTATCCATGTCAAATTACAATTATTTCAAATCAGTATAATGCTTTTCATTCTTAGCACGATCTTTATTATTAGGAAAATCAACAAGCCTTAACGAGGTCTATTGTTTTGAACTTTCGCGTCTAACGGTTCATTTAAAAAGGCTGTCAACTTCTTTTATAGGAGAAGGATAACAAACGAGCACACAGTCCACCTGATGGTAAGTGGTGACTGTGGCCCATGGACATATCCTCGATTACGAATCAAATTACAAATGCGTAGTCAACCGTGAGGACTAAGATGGAATGAAAAAAAAGGATCTCAGGTTCTCTACACTCACCATACTAAACACAGCAGCATTAGGCTACTATTTTACGCTGTTATTCTGTGAGAGCGTGGTGCTTCCCCGTTCGTGCTACCCCGTGCTACAACTATACTACTACATAGCCAATTTATAAGTAAGCTTTTTGACTTGGTAGAGCCTTGTTGCAGCTATAATACGGTTGTAGCACGAATAAGTCGCTTCGACCGGGAAAGGACCACGCTCTCACAGAATACCAGCGTAAAATAACAGCTCAATGCTGCTGTGTTTCGTAGGGTGAGTGTAGAGAACCGGAGACATTTTTTACTGAAATAGATGCCTCTTTTTCAGTAAAAAGGGTATCCGGTCTTAGTCTTCAGGGTCGACAACGTATCTGCATTTTGATTTTTAATCGAGAATACATTTAGATGTTTATAGGACGCAGCATCCACTTACCGTCAGGTGAGCTGTGTGCCCGCTTGTCTCCGTTATTCTATTTACAAAACAGAATGGTCTCCCGGCAGTACAGAAGTTCTACTCGGTAACATTGGTGACATAATTAAACCTCGAGGAGTGACTGAATATTAAATCATCACAGAGCTATATCTTAAAGGCATAATGTCGTAAATTATTGTAAAAGGCACATGGCTGACAAAATATAATATATCTCAAGGCGATATCTAAGGAAGTTATTGTGTAGGGTGGCAGATGCTCGTACAAGATTTTTAGTGATATTATTCTTAAATAATGAAACATTTTTGTATCAACCTCACTATTAAGTAATGAATGCAAACATGCAATTAATTATCTATTGATGAATATTTAATAATTTATATACTTATTTATTGTTTATTTCATAAAATTTAGTAATTATAATAATATATATATATATATAATTAAAGGTATTGCACGCCACTATCACGGTTAAATGTAAGGTTTCTATGATAACTAATAAGGTTGAAAGAATTGATTTTTAAGCACTTAACTAAGTTATCTAACCTCACTCCACGATTTCCCTGGCGTTACCGATATTCATGGACGACAGTGATTAATTGCCATCAGGTGAGCCGTATGCGCGTTTCCTCCGCTCTTCCGTAAAAAAACTTCAAACTAAGGAGGCTACGAATGCTTTGTAATCTCTAAGGGTTAAGAAGAAATGATTATCCTGACACTTTTTTTAATATTTTTCAGACCGTAACTGACCGACCGACAGGAGGGTAGTGTCTATACTCATGTCGAAATTTGGGCGGTGATGCAGTCCCTTTAGCGGTGCGAAGTGAACTGTCAGTATATCGAAGTGCTGAAGTGTTTGTTCAGTAAGGCTACGATGGCTATTCAAGTACAAGACCAGAGTACGAAACCTATCCAACTGTAGAGAGGTGTAAGACACGGTGACGTAATACCCCCGAACCTCATTACCGCTGCATTCGAAAACGTTTTCAAGCTACTAGACTGAAAAGGATGCGGTGTTAATGTCAATGGTAAGTAGATCATTTACCTTCGATTTGCCGACGGTATAGTCCTGATGGCAGAATCGCTGGAGAACCCAAACACTATGCTCTATGACCTCAATAGTGTGTCACGAATAGGTCTCAAGATAAACATGGAGAAAACAAAAGTTATGTGTAATGTTCATTTAACACTTATGCCTGTGGTTGTTGTGAGCACTAAGCTCGAAGTTGTTGACGATTATGTTTACCTGGGACAAATAGTCCAACTAGGTAAGGCCAACTTCGACCGAGAGGTCAATCGACGGATTCAACTCGGCTAGGCAGCGTTTAAAAGATTACGACACATATTCTCGTCAGGCATACCTTAAAACCTCAAAACTAGAGTACAACCAGTGCGTGTTGCCTGTGATGACCTATGAATCTGAGACGTGGTCCTTCACTGCTGGCTGGATAAGAAATTCAAAGTCACTTAGCGAGCTATGGAGAGGGCTATGCCCGGAGTTACTCTGTGAGATAAACTTAGAACTGAGGATATCCGCGGTAGAAACAGAGCGACCAACGTAGCGCAACGGATTAGTAAGTTGAAGTGGCAATGGGCCGGCCATATAGCTCAAAGAACGGACAACCGATGAGGAAAAAGGTTCGCTAGTGGCAGCCTCGTACTGATAGGCGAAGTGTAGGGCGACCCTCTACTAGATGGAGTGACGTAAGACGTGCAGGAAGTCGGTGGATGCAGGTGGTTCAGGACCGTGCTCTATGGCATTCCTTGGGGGAAGCCTATGTTCAGCAGAGACATACCCTTCTTGGGCGGAAAAGTAGTCCTTAAATATAACAGGTGGATTGTAAATACGTTTTTTATACTTACTGTTACAAAAAAAATGTAAAACTTGATTTTTTTTTCATAGAATAAGAGTGGCAGACAAGCAGACAGTCTACCTCGTCGTAAGTAGATGCTGTGTCATAGACATCCACATCTATCCTCAATTAAAAACAAAATAATGAATGTGTTGTCACCATGTATGTTTATCTACTTGTTACAAGTTCTACC